AGCGAACGGTCCCCACACACAGCCCCTGTGGGAGACGCTCAGAGCTCCCCAGGACCAACCTGCTCCCTCCCGCAGTGACCCGGGGAGACGTGTTTGCCTTGCCAGAGGATGACTACCTCGACTACAACCTCACTGTTGACTTGGGCCCAGTAGTGGGTTCCGAAGCAGCCCCCACAGAGCTGCCCCCACCCCTGTCACCGGTGCAGCCCACGCCGGAGACACCTGACTTGGGCCCTGAGGACACCCTGACAGAGGCGCCCGTGGAGGAAGTGCCCAACACCACTCCGGATGGGTTAGGGGAGTGGGACACTGTGGAGGAGCCCGAGGAGCTGTGCAGCAGGAAACCTTTTAACGCCTTCACCGACCTGAAGAACGGTTCCCTTTACGCTTTCCGAGGTATCTCAGGGACCTTTCCCAGTTGCACAGGACGTGCTGCTGTGCCGTCACCCCATGATGGTGGCTGTGGTCCCTCCTGCTGCTCCCACCTCCCCTCTCTCCCCAGGGAAGTACTTCTACGAGCTGGATGAGAAAAGCGTACGGCCTGGCTACCCCAAGCTCATCAGCGACGTCTGGGGCATTGAGGGCCCCATCGACGCAGCCTTCACACGCATCAACTGCCAGGGCAAGACTTACCTGTTCAAGGTGAGCAGGAGCCTGGTTGTAGGGCTGGGAGTGCTCCCAGCAAGGCCGGCACAACCCCCCAGCCCACCCTGTCCCCACCCTGGTACTTTCCATGCACACACACACACAGTGTCTGCCAGATATCCCTAAATCCCTGTGGCTGTCCAGGGCTCCAGGCAACCACAGCCTCAACATGGGGCTTCCCAGCATCTACTTGCTCCCTCCAGCAAACCCACACCTGGGGGGGATGCTGCACCCAGCACTCTGATCCCCCTGCTCTGTCCTGCACCCCCAGGGCAGCCAGTACTGGCGCTTCGATGATGGAGCCCTGGACCCCGGGTACCCACGCAACATCTCCGAGGGCTTCGAAGGCATCCCGGACAGCGTCGATGCGGCCTTCGCCCTCCCCGCACACAGCTACAACGGCAACGAGAGAGTCTATTTCTTCAAGGGTAAGGGGTGCAGCCCCCAGCTCCTGGGCAGACCCTGGCACCAGTGGCCACGAGCAGGACACCCCTGTAGCTACTGCTGCCCCCTGAATGCGTGTCCCCCACTAACGCCCTGCGCATCCTCTCCTAGACAAGTACTACTGGTCCTATGACTTCACCCACCAGCCCACGCAGGCCGACTGTGAGAAGTCCTCCCCCTCCGTCGTGTTCAACCACTACGCCTTCATGAACCGTGACAGCTGGGAGGACATCTTCCAGATCCTCTTCGGCGGCAGGAAGAGTAAGGGCTGGGCCAGCCCCGGGCTGGCGGGCACCAATATAGCCCGCAGTGATGGGGCGCAGGGCGGGCAGGCACCCAGGGAGGAGGGAGCGATGACTGGGAGCACAGGCAGGCTGGATAAGCTGCTGTGCTGGGACGGAGCCCAGGCTGAGCACAGGAACCCCCTAGGCCACATCTGCATCTCCCACAGCATCCCAAATCCCACCCTCTGCAGCCCTTATGCCCCACACTACTGAGCCCATCACCAGCCATCTCCCACCACAGTGTCACTGCTGGGGACTGTTTATTCCCACTGGAGATGCCACAGGAAAACCCCAGCCCTGGGCAAGAGAATTGAAAGATGGAGAGGAGGAGAAGGGGGCTCAGCAGCACAGGGCTGATCCCAGCCAAGGGTGGGGTGAGGGGCTGCTGCCTGTGTCCCCATCACGTATCCCATCCAGACTGGGATCCTTTGGAGCACCCCTGTGGGTCTCGGAGCAGGTGCTGGGGGCTGCCTGTGGGGCTGGGCTCAGCTCCCCCGATACATCGCTGCCCCTCTCACTCACCCTCTGCCTCTCTG